GGCAGTAAGACATCGTCCAAGTCACAGCGAGATTACCGAATTAAGCGCCGCGAATTATTAGCAATAACGACGTCTGTCAAATGGTTTCGTTTTCTTCTGCCAGTTGGATCTTTTGTCATTAATTCACACGCAGGGTTCTCCAGTGGTTACAGAACACGAAAGACGCTAAGGGTCAGCGGCATGCTGGCCGTTATAAAAACACAAATTCATCTGTACGTATCGTCTCTGTAAAGTACCTGTCAACACCGACGCCCTGTCTTCATTTTCTTGTGCCCCGAAAGCCGAGGTCTTAAGAGTATCGGGGATCAAACTAATGAACGGGCACAGCGTCGTTGGACTGCTGGTTAAAAATACGGATCCAGACACAGCCATACTCTGTGACCACTTCATACACTGGTAGCACCGTCCCACAGATGAAGAGGCTTACATGCTCCTCAACCAGCAGACACACCGATTTGTCGACAACGAAATTCTACTGCTCAAACACGATACAACTAATGTTTCCCGAACCATTGTTTCAGGTAATCTTGTGCTGACAGTTATCCCGCGACCTAACAACCAGTTCGGCCATGTCGTGACTTTTTGCAGTATTTGCCCAAATTATGTCCTTTTCAAAGCGCCACGTAAGTGGATGCGCGCACCACTGCAGTCTATGCACGCACACACACACTTGCTATCCCGGCGGCTAGGTCTCGATATCATCCCCCCCACTGCTATTCACGACCTCTGGTTATAAGTTATTGTTTGACTATTCCACCAAGTTGGTTGAATCAGTGTCGTTATTGAGGCAAGACGCTGTCCATGGCGGCTATACTATAAAATGGTTAAACATGTCGGTTCAGGGCGCCTCTATCGATACATTTCAAGCGCACTACGGTCCTGGGTGTTTGCGATGTCCTCACGAGCTATGAGATGCGCACAACTTCGACGCATCTGGAAGAGAGCAAATAAGTTAAACGGACCGGCGTTACTTTGAAATAGCTCTTAAAAGCCTTTGCATAGTCTGACCACATGTACGATTGGAATAACGTTTGCAGTGAGTAATGACGGCCTATGGCGTGACCTGAAATGCTCTGATCGGTTAGACTTCCATCCTAATGTCGGACGGATGTCATTTCCGCCTACTAACTGACTCATGTCCGACTCATGACAGATTCACCATTCACCGGACAGCTACCTGTTGCAAATTCAAGAGCTGCTACGATTCACGTGCTGACTCACCCATGTGGTGGACGGGGTGGTTATATTTGTTTACATCGACCGAACAGATCTGTGGGTTTTTAAAAAGGCCAAAAATAGATATTGGGAGGGGTGGGTAAGAGTGACTTATATGGCTCCCTAAACAGGACATGAGAACGGGAACCGCTCGCACTACGGATAGCCTCGAGTCAACTTCCAGTGAAATAAGGGGTAGGTTTAAGGTAAGTAGTAGTAGGGTTAAGTTAAGAATTAGATTTAAGAGTAGATTTAAAATTAACAGTGAGGTAAGTCAGTATCAAGTTTAAGTTTGGCGTTAGAGATAGTGTTAACTGCAGAGTTGAAGTTTAAGGTAAGGTTGAGGTCAAAACTGAGCAACGGCTTAATTTTATATTAGGGTTATTGTTGGGTTTAAGACAGGGGAATATTTGCCCTTTACGGAAAAATGCGCAGATCCACCTTTATTATTTGGACGAGGTTTTCCTATTCCCCAGTCCTGCTTAGGGGCCATATAAGTCAGTTTTACCGTAGCGTCTTGTAATAAAGACCGCGAGCCATCCCAATCTTCTATGCGTCGAGCCCAGGAATATTTTGCTTACAAAACCGCCAACATGAATCCCATAACTACTCTTATTAGAAGAACAGTTTATCACTCGGCTACCATTTTAAGTCCATTCCCGCCTCTCGCAAAATAAACGACCTGACTTTCATAGTCAGTCCCGAAATGTCAGTGAACATTTGAGCTAAAGGCAGTCAACTTCTGCGGAGTAACCACGCATAGCCAATTCTACAAACCAACAGTGCTTCTATTAGGATAATTTCCTACGACAGTGCCCATGTTTCTGCTGCTGCTGCATGACGCAACTGTGAGGGGTCCTGCAGTTAATTAGATCCCACGGAGTTCTTTATGTTGGCTTCTGGCAAGTGAACTCCAGATAAATATCAAGTCAATAAGTTACAAATTGCCAAATGCAAGACTTGAAGTATATATATATATATATATAT